TAACAGAGCTCCACAGCAATAATACTCCCAGTAATGTGTCTGAGTGTATAACAGAGCTCACAGCAATAATACTCCCAGTAATGTGTCTGAGTGTATAACAGAGCTCCACAGCAATAATACTCCCAGTAATGTGTCTGAGTGTGTAACAGAGCTCCACAGTAATAATACTTAATACTCCCAGTAATGTGTCTGAGTGTATAACAGAGCTCCACGGCAATAATACTCCCAGTAATGTGTCTGAGTGTGTAACAGAGCTCCACAGTAATAATACTCCCAGTAATGTGTCTGAGTGTATAACAGAGCCCCACAGCTATAATACTCCCAGTAATGTGTCTGAGTGTATAACAGCGCTCCACAGCAATAATACTCCCAGTAATGTGTCTGAGTGTATAACAGCGCTCCACAGCAATAATACTCCCATTAATGTGTCTGAGTGTATAACAGAGCCCCACAGCTATAATACTCCCAGTAATGTGTCTGAGTGTATAAAAGAGCCCCACAGCTTTAATACTCCCAGGATGTGTCTGAGTGTATAACAGCGCTCCCCAGCAATAATACTCCCAGTAATGTGTCTGAGTGTATAACAGAGCTCCCCAGCAATAATACTCCCAGTAATGTCTGAGTGTACAACAACAGCCCACAGCCATGTTAATACTCCCAGTAATGTGTCTGTGTGTGTGTGCATAACCAATCCCCACAGCACACACACTCCCAGTAATCGTGTCTGAGTGTATAACAGAGCCCCACAGCCATAATACCCCAGTAATGTGTCCAGAGTGTATACCACCCACAGCAAATAATATTCCAGTAATGCGGCTGAGTGTATAACAGAGCTCCACAGCAATAATACTCCAGGTAATGTGTCTGAGTGTATAACAGAGCTCCACAGCAATAATACTTCCAGTAACGTGTCTGAGTGTATAACAGAGCTCCACAGCAGTAATACTCCCAGTAATGTGTCCGAGTGTATAACAGAGCTCCACAGCAATAATACTCCCAGTAATGTGTCTGAGTGTATAACAGAGCTCCACAGCAATAATACTCCCAGTAATGTGTCTGAGTGCATAACAGAGCCCCACAGCAATAATACTCCCAATAATGTGTCTGACTGTATAACAGAGCTCCACAGCAATAATACTCCCAGTAATGTGTCCGAGTGTATAACAGAGCTCCACAGCAGTAATACTCCCAGTAATGTGTCTGAGCGTGTACAACAGGAGCCCCACAGCTATAATACACTCCCAGTAATGTGTCTGAGTGTATAACAGTGCCCACAGCAATAATACTCCCAGTAATGTGTCCGAGTGTATAACAGAGCTCCACACACAGCAATAATACTCCCAGTAATGTGTCTGAGTGTATAACACAGAGCCCACAGCACACACACTCACAGTTATGTGTCTGAGTGTATAACAGAACTCCACAAAAGCAATAATACTCACAGTAATGTGTCTGAGTGTATAACAGAGCTCCCTAAGGTTAAATAATACTCCCAGTAATGGGTCTGAGTGCATAACAGAGCTCCACAGCAATACTCCCAGTAATGTGTCTGGGTGTATAACAGAGCTCCACAGCAATAATACTCCCAGTAATGTGTCTGAGTGTATAACAGAGCTCCTTAGTAATAATACTCCCAGTAATGTGCCTGAGTGTATAACAGAGCTCCACAGTAATAATACTCCCAGTAATGTGTCTGAGTATATAACAGAGCTCCACAGCAATAATACTCCCAGTAATGTGTCTGAGTGTATAACAGAGCTCTGCAGCAATAATACTCCCAGTAATGTGTCTGAGTGTATAGCAGAGCTCCACAGCGATCATACTCCCAGTAATGTGTCTGGGTATGTAACAGAGCTCCACAGTAATAATACTCCCAGTAATGTGCCTGAGTGTATAACAGTACCCCACAGCAATAATACTTCCAGTAATGTGACTGAGTGTATCACAGTTCCACAGCAATAATACTCCCAGTAATGTGCCTGAGGGTATAATAGAGCTCCACAGCAATAATACTCACAGTAATGTGTCCGAGTGTATAACAGAGCTCCACAGCAATAATACTCCCAGTAATGTGTCTGAGTGTGTAACAGAGCTCCACAGTAATAATACTTAATACTCCCAGTAATGTGTCTGAGTGTATAACAGAGCTCCACGGCAATAATACTCCCAGTAATGTGTCTGAGTGTGTAACAGAGCTCCACAGTAATAATACTCCCAGTAATGTGTCTGAGTGTATAACAGAGCCCCACAGCTATAATACTCCCAGTAATGTGTCTGAGTGTATAACAGCGCTCCACAGCAATAATACTCCCAGTAATGTGTCTGAGTGTATAATAGCGCTCCACAGCAATAATACTCCCATTAATGTGTCTGAGTGTATAACAGAGCCCCACAGCTATAATACTCCCAGTAATGTGTCTGAGTGTATAAAAGAGCCCCACAGCTATAATACTCCCAGGATGTGTCTGAGTGTATAACAGCGCTCCACAGCAATAATACTCCCATTAATGTGTCTGAGTGTATAACAGAGCTCCCCAGCAATAATACTCCCAGTAATGTGTCTGAGTGTATAACAGAGCCCCACAGCAATAATACTCCCAGTAATGTGTCTGAGTGTATAACAGCGCTCCACAGCAATAATACTCCCAGTAATGTGTCTGTGTGTATAACCAATCCCCACAGCAATAATATTCCCAGTAATGTGTCTGAGTGTATAACAGAGCTCCACAGCAATAATACTCCCAGTAATGTGTCTGAGTGTATAACAGAGCCCCACAGCTATAATACTGCCAGTAATGTGTCTGAGTGTATAACAGAGCTCCAAAGCAATAATACTCCCAGTAATGTGTCTGAGTGTATAATAGAGCTCCACAGCAATAATACTCCCAGTAATGTGTCTGAGTGTATAACATAGCTACACAGCATTAATACTCCCAGTAATGTGTCTGAGTGTATAACAGAGCCCCACAGCTATAATACTCCCAGTAATATGTCTGAGTGTATAACAGAGCTCCACAGCGATAATACTCCCAGTAATGTGTCTGAGTGTATAACAGAGCTCCACAGCAATAATACTTCCAGTAATGTGTCTGAGTGTATAACAGTGCTCCACAGCAATAATACTCCCAGTAATGTGTCTGAGTGTGTGACGAGACCAATCTCGCCACATTGCATTGGAGAAGCCTGGTTGCTCGCCTGCTGCCTTTGGACTATGAGTGTATAACAGAGCTCCACAGCAATAATACTCCCAGTAATGTGTCTGAGTGTATAACAGAGCTCCACAGCAATAATACTCCCAGTAATGTGTCTGAGTGTATAACAGTGCTCCACAGCAATAATACTATAAACTACAATAAATGTGTTTAGAAATCAGTCTGCGTAAAGATGATACATTGTTCTTCTAAATTAATTTTAGTTGGATAAATTGTTATTAGTAAGTCACCTAAAACTTGTAAGAAAAGCCCAGCCCCTGGCCATACCCCCAGTCACACCCCTAAATTTTAAGGGTCCCTCTTTGACCATCTGAAATGTTGGGACTAGGAGGTATGTGAAGACTTTTATTGGCACGGGTGAGAAAGTCTATGCTCAGAAGGAAGAAACAAATCTGAAATAGACCCGGATTGTTTTTAACAGAGTGCTCCTTTAATTAATCTTTGATTTAAAATGAAAAACATCTTTCCCCTTAAAGTGCTAGGCACGTGTATCAAATGTAAAAAACATCACAATTAATTTTAACTGCTGTGTTTACACTAAAAGCTTTGGAACTATTTAAGATGTGCTGTGACTGTGTCCTGATTCTGATACACTGAATCACATCGGCCCACCTACATATCGATAGACTAATAGCCCTTCAGAATGTCTGTGTCTCTAATTAACAAGTTATTAAATGTGAGTATGCGTAACATCTGCTTGTGGTTTAAAGTTTGGGGGGGGGGACTTTTATTTTTTTTTATATTGGTTTCTGTCAAGTCTTCAAGCTAACAGCCAGAGCTATCCCTGACTTGAAGCACAAATTATATGTTAAAAAAAGCTAATATTACACTACAATATTCTGCATCTCCGTCCTGCGCAGGGTAAATGATCCCTTAATTCTGCAGATTAACTCTTTGTAAAGATTTATTGATTTTCTATCCTCTATTTTAGCATCTCGTATCAAATAAGACATTCGATTATCAAGTTACTGCGATCTGACACACAGAAAGTCGTTACTTAGTATTCTGTGTCAAAAGTTCCTTAAAGTTATTTGCAATTAATGAATATAATACATTCTTTGAAAGGAGACCACAATTTATCAAATTAAACAATTTGTTTGCAATTTGACAATAATGCAATAATAACAATTGTTTGAATTTAAATAATGAATTCTATGATGGCATAAATTATCAGCATTATACTAATGATATTTATTACCAGATGACATGTAAGCTTTCTCGGAGAGTAAATAGTAACACGGTCATTTATTGAGATGTGTGAATCGTGTAACGAGGTATTAGATTAATGAAAAATGTCATAAAATGTTGCTGTACAGCGATGGACGACGCTACTGATATTTGAGAATTGCATTTTCTTTGATTCTCAGCAAAGACAATCCAGCTTTTAGTCTAGGCATGGCACCTTGTGAAATGTAGTTTATAAACACAGGCAATGCCAGAATGAGCCAGTTTGCGTTCAGAGTTTCTACTTTTATTTCTATCCTAGAAATGTGTTTATTTTAGAATATACTGAATACACTGTGTAGGTGGGCTTCCTGTACTATATACACTGTGTAGGTGGGCTGCCGGTACTGAATACACTGTGTATGTGGGCTGTCTGTACTGCATACACTGTGTAGGTGGGCTGCCGGTACTGTATACACTGTGTAGGTGGGCTGCCGGTACTGAATACACTGTGTATGTGGGCTGTCTGTACTGCATACACTGTGTAGGTGGGCTGCCGGTACTGTATACACTGTGTAGGTGGGCTGCCGGTACTGCATACACTGTGTAGGTGGGCTTCCTGTACTATATACACTGTGTAGGTGGGCTTCCTGTACTATATACACTGTGTAGGTGGGCTGCCGGTACTGCATACACTGTGTAGGTGGGCTGTCTGTACTGCATACACTGTGTAGGTGAGCTGCCGGTACTGAATACACTGTGTAGGTGGGCTTCCTGTACTATATACACTGTGTAGGTGGGCTGTCTGTACTGAATACAATGTGTAGGTGGGCTGCCGGTACTGAATACACTGTGTAGGTGGGCTGTCTGTACTGAATACACTGTGTAGGTGGGCTGCCGGTACTGAATACACTGTGTAGGTGGGCTGTCTGTACTGCATACACTGTGTAGGTGGGCTGCCTGTACTGAATACACTGTGTACGTGGCCTGCCGGCACTGAATACACTGTGTAGGTGGGCTGCCTGTACTGAATACACTGTGTACGTGGCCTGCCGGCACTGAATACACTGTGTAGGTGGGCTGCCGGTACTGCATACACTGTGTACGTGGCCTGCCGGCACTGAAGACACTGTGTAGGTGGGCTGCCGGTACTGTATACACTGTGTAGGGGGGCTGCCGGTACTGAATACACTGTGTAGGTGGGCTTCAGTACATTTCGTACCTCATTTTGTTGTTGTAATGGACATACTGTATAGAATGTAATGTAGCCGGAAGCAGTATCTTCATATCACACCCTGGCTATTTTCTCATATCATGTGTTTTAAAGAGAATATGTTTTAAGAAAAAAGTAGAGAACAAATTTAAAGGGAAACACTCTTCATATGTTATTTAAAATCAGGAAGGCAAAAAAGAATGAAACAAACAAACCAGTAAATCTACACAGTTTTAGAAACATCTCCATCAAATGAAGATTAAAGTGTTCCTGTCGTGTTTTTTCTTTTATGCCCCCTGTATCTTAATAATTAAACTCTCCTACTTACCTTTTGTCTTTATTGATTCTTAATATATTTTCTTCCTTGTTCGGAGACCTCAATACCTGCGAGCGGCCATTTTGTTCTCTCTGCCATGATGTCCGCCTTCTGTGGAAATAATTTTTTAGGAAATTCTCGATAAATTTATAGCCAAATAAATTTGCATAATTAGTGTACTCAGACCCCCAAATAGGGGTTTATTCACTAAAATTGTAATTGTGGTAATGTAAAAAACAAATTAGAATTTAATTTTTATGTGAAAAAAGCTCCAATGGAAGAATTCAGGAATTCTGCTTTGTTATGTTGGAATGAATGTTGCAATTTTGCATGGTGGGTAAATGGCATGGGACTGCTCCGTAGACTGGGCATCATGGGAAATTGAGAAATTATACGCCAACATAACCAAATCATTCTCAAATTCTGCTGTTTTAAGCTGAGCTCTTTTGACATACAATTTCCATTCCCAAATTACTGAATGAAAGTAGGAGGATTTTTTGTCTTGTTATAGTACGTTGCAGTCCAGAACTTTTATCTGGTTTCCCTTTATATATTGCAGCTCAGAATATACAGGAAATGGCTTCTAGGCAGTCTGAAGCGATAATAACGTCAGCCATATTGGAACAGCTTCATCCATTAAATATTTCCGTAGGTTTCCCTGTCGGACAAATGTGGACTATCACTGAATCAGAAACAAGGAGTCTGTCTGGACCTTGAGTGTTGGCCCCCAGCAGTTGGCATGACACATTTTGGATGGATAAAGGGTACAAAGATTTCTGGGAATAAAACCCGATTACCTGCATTTTGCGTACTATGTGAGGTCCTAGCAGTCATCCTCGCGGCCTGACTGGCAGCCACTAATCTATTCTGCCTGAAGGTTTCCTGAAGGTGTAAATGAGCTGCCAGTCCCAGCTAATGGAATTGTAATTGCCAATTAAAAGCTGTCCTGTTAATTGTACGGGCTTGATTGTTTGAGCGTTGTCTGGGTCTCTGTTATTGTAATTGATTCAAAGTGGAATCACTCTGCAGATGTTTGGGAAACAAGGACTTATAGATTGCACAGGGATTTACAGCGAGGAGAAACTCAACCAGCAATAAGGAAAGTCAACATCTCCCCCTCTGCCGAACTGGGACATTTATTAAAAAGTCTTCACAAAGCAGACAGGAAAACGATTTATGAATATCGTAGCCATTTACTATCAAATGCCTGCTCTGTGCGATATTGCATTAATTACAATCTCCATGAAGCTTAATACAGAGTACGTTGGCCATTTCTGAGTCAGTCCGTCTATCTAGATTCATACCCAGAGGGTGACAGAGCTGTATGGATGCAGTGTGTCAGAAATCGGCAGAATTTATCCTGAACTCATTATCAAGGGATGCATGATGATAAAACCAGCTGTAAACTCAGTCATCATCTGTAAGTTCTTGGGGCAAAGGTGACTGTTTGGAAGCATTACAGTGTATTGTTATGGGCAAATGCAAATATTACAAGTTCTAGAATGAAATGTTGTATTTCTTAAACTGTGTACTTTCTCTTTAAGAGATATTGCAAACTGACAAGGTGTTAGAAATGGAACATATTGTTTTTCATGGACGATAGGAGGTTATAGGTCTCGCCAAAAACACAAGGTAAAGAAAACCAAATTTTGGAAAGTAAAAATAGTGATGACATACATATTGTATTTTCACTAAATTTTAGCATTTTGTGGTGCTATTTTCATCACTATTTTTACTTTCCAAAATTTGGTTTTCTTCCAGATTTTAATTTTTCACGCTTTGTGAGGGAACGTCATACCTTTAGGTTGCAGCCTATATAGATTCTATCACTATTCTATTGAACACAAAGCGCTGAACCCACTACTTTTTACACATATTGTTTTTCATAACTGTTTCTTTAAGCAATAACCTCAGTGCATAATATGTTTGCGCCATTTTGTCCCAGGCGAGTTACAATAACAATAATGCATAAACAAGCTTCAAGGCGATCCTACGACTCTTTCAGTACGTAATATACTGTGGTAACCTTAGTAGATAAGGATGTTCAGACTTTAAGATGCCATCTTGAACTAAGTCAGGAAAATTTCCATGACGTATGCACCCTTTAGTTATGGCCTTGTATTTTTGCCAAATTAAGGGAGGTCCTAAAATGAATAAAGTAAAAGAAGTGTTACTTTTTCATATATGAACTACGGTGACCCTAAAATGGAGACACCTAAGGTATAAATAGGTGTACTTTTAAATGTTAAGACACAGAGGAGAGACTTAGAGACAGACGCTGCTCCATCTTAAAATGACAGAGAGGCTGACATGACGACTTGTTCAGGAGGGTGTGTTAACCAATTAATGATATTTGCAAGCATTTAGTTTAATCTTATAAACTCTGCTATAAATTATTGCAATGGATTTTATGTCTATATTTATATTTTTATATAATAAAAAATCAAAAAGACAAAACTTTATTGCTTCCAAGACAATCCTTATTTTATATTGTATTCTCAATTATTTATATATGTTAAATAGAGGATCTCTTACACTATATAAAATTATGGCTAAGATATCTGTATGGTTAGCCCTGTTAAGTTCCATGCTTTAAGACATTATAGTGGTAAATAAGGGAACCATCCACGGTTACAATTGGCGACCACGAAGGGACATTGTACTTGGAAGCTTTAATTATAAAATAATAAATACCTAGGTAACCTGTTTGGTGATTAATTAGTGTGACGGACGCCCCCTTGCCTGGACATTCGCCACAGCTCCTGGAGGAGTGTAGAGGCTAGCCTCCTGCCCACTGACTATGGACTTGGTTTATGGGATTTATTTGTACAGTTCGGGAATCCGTTTAAACTTTGTTTTTATGTTACCAAAGTTGACCGACCAGCCCTGATTTCATAGAACTGTTTTGGGCCATGTGCACGGTTGGTCAAATAATTGACTTCCATGAAAATTTCAAACCCCTAAACCGATCTGGGTGATTTTTGGAAATGTTGGTCACCCAGATCGGGGCTATCATGTGTTTGAAGGTACTTTCGGGGTGTTTGTAAATTGTGTGTATTTCTGTGCCTGGAGATAATTGAGTTTGTACAGTTCCTGACTCAATTATCTCCCAGGCACGGGGGAGGGATTACCCTGTTTTGTGTGGGAGTGTCATGGTCGTGTTTTCTGTGTCCTTGTACTGCAAAAAAGCAGGCCATTGAGCCTGGATTAAACAGATCATCGTACCCGTTCATGAAGTCCAGGCTCATGTTTGGGGGATTGGGAGCTATATTCACACTTACAATCACTACGGCGCTTGGGACTTGGAAGATTCTTCACAGATTTACTTAGCTGGAGTATAGGGGATCCGTTACAATTAGTAAATGCTAGCAATAGAAACCCAGCAGATACGGATTAACATGTCATGGGACCCTGGACAGGACAGTTTGGTCGCCCTTCATATTTCACATAACGATGATTAATGGAGTCATGCAATCGCATGGTTCTGGGACCCCTGCCTAACTCTTGGGCTCTGGGTGGCTGCCTAGTTGCCCTTTAGGTTAATCCTGCTTTGAAAATAAGTGTAAGCTCTATACTGAAAGTAGTGCGCCCCTGTTAGCTGCTCAGGGGTCCTGCTAAACCTACTCAAGAAAACATAAAGGTTTGTGAACATACTCACTTGAGGAAATACAATAAATTAAAATCAATTTCAATATGATTTAATCAGTTTTGGTAAAACACGTTTAACATTAACGGACCACTATAGGCACCCAGACCACTTCAGCTTAATGAAGTGGTCTGGGTGCCAGGTCCAGCTAGGATTAACCCTTTCTGCTGTAAACATAGCAGTCCTATTAGCCCCGCTGTCCTATTAGCCCTGCAATCTAAGACACTGCAGTTTCAGGCAGCCACCAGAGCCAGCTACAGGTAAACTCCAAGTTTCTTCAAATTTCAGGATTCTTGCTTGGCACAGAAATAGTTAAACTTACAAGCCCAAAAACAAACACTGATCAGGCAGTAAATTCATTGAACTCTTCCCTTGATCGGGTAAGCAGTGCCAATATTCACAGAATAAAACGCAAGGTTAAAATCAGCAAATCTGCCAGGAATTTTATTCCAAAGCTGTGGCGTTGAGGTGAATATGTATGTCCATCTGCTCACAATTCGCAGCTTCAGAAAAAAAGTGCGCAGTCAGACACAGCCGTGGCGTGAATTACACATGCAAGGTCTAGGTGCTGCAGAGGTAGATTACACACCAGCTCAATTAGCTCTCTTCCTAATTACCCACACCGTTTCCTGTCAATACCTTGTTCACGCAAAAAATATAGAAATAAGTGTTTTGTTTTGTATTTTTCTTTCCTCGAGTCTTCGTTACTTTGCGTTTATTTGTCTCCAGGAAAAAAGTTATACTTAGACCTGAAGTGACATACCTTGAAAGCAACGTGTGAGAGATCGTCACCTTCAGCAGTTAGAAAGGTGTTTGGCTAGGTAATTATTTGTATTCATTAATTGTATGCTGGAATATTGTCAACTGGCCACATGCAATGCTTCTTAGTGATGGTACAATTTTACGTGCACAAAACGTTG